GGCCTCCAGACAACTCTTTACCAAAATCCAGCTCTGTTAGCATAAAACAACTTGGCTTCACATCCCCATGTGTAAATGAATTGGATTCCATGATCTCCAAGGCTCCTTCTAGCTTTAAAAAGTGCAGTTTTGTTTACTCACACCATCACTGCCCTGTAGCAAGTAGTTGGCCCATTGCCTAAGAGTGGACCCACCCTGGGAATGAGCTGTGAGTCTTAACACTGGATGAAGACAGAGGCCATTGTGCTGTCTTATGCAATTAGACATCCTTTCTACTGTTTCATGTTATCCCAATCAAGTCTCTACCATGTTACACATCCTTCAAGGCAGAAATCAGGAAGTATAGTCTGTATATTATTGCCTGGATTACGAAAAGCCACTGGCCATGAGGGGTTTGGATTCCCATTTCAACATCCTAAAATATCTACATTTCCCTTTAATTCCATCTGTTTAGTTATTAATTATTAATTGCCCAAGTGTCTAATCTCTCTTTTCAGTGTCATGTAAATAAAATTTACTCTATTCCCTCATCAGAACAATGTGTTCATTCTGGATAATAAAGTTTTGTTGTTTAAATACAGAAAGGAAGGGCCAAGTTGGTGAACGTTAGAGCTTAATCCACAAAGCAGGTATACTTATCTTGACAACCCGCAGTACCAGAAATGGCAATAAACAAAATACTGAAAGTTACTAATATCAATTTTTATTAACATTGAGTGGAATTCAGCAACAGGTGTTAGAGGAAGCAATGTATCTGTGATATATTAGCTATGCATTGGCAATGTATCAATTATATGTGTGTGGTTTGAATGGAACTCTGTCACATCCTGTAAGTGACCCTGGGCTACCTATCTGTGTTACAGTTTCTTCCTCCGATCTCACAGGAAGATGTTGATAATTAAATGAATTAAGATTGGTAAACTGTGTAGAACAATGCTTGCCAGAGCATAGGGAAGGGATCAAAGAGCATGATTCGTATTCCGAATGGGCTGCTATGGGAGAGGTACAGTTGTAATAATAACACAGGTGACTAGACATGATGGGAGAGAATTCTATGTATTTCTTCTCAATGATCTTTGAAACATGAAGCTAAAGTAATGGTTTTACTGACTGAGTCCTGAGGCCTCCATGTAGATTGTGTCTGCCCTGTGCTGCCAGGACCAGGCAAGTGGATGGAATAAGTCAGTTAGTTGATGAGTCTGCAGACAGAGCCCTCTAACTACAGCACTTCACAGACAGACTAGCACAGGGTTCATCCCACAGAGGCAGTGTAAATAGAGGTGCCAATCACCCTCAGTCAAACCTCCAGCAGCCACAGGCTCCACAGGCTACCCACAGAGGAGATCCAGCACTGATTGTGTCAAGGATCTGCCCCAGCTGCCACCAGAAGCAGACCTCCCTCTCGCTTGCATGCACGTGGGTGAATAGTATTTGGTGTCTCACCTGGATTCTTAAAAATGTCCTTGATAAGCTGGGCATTGGTGGCGAATGCCTTTAATCCCAGAATTCGAGAGGCAGAGGCAGGTGGATCTCTGTGAGTTCAAGGCCAGCCTGGTCTTCAAAGAGAGTTTTGGTACAGTCTCCAAACCTACAGAGAAACCCTGTCTTGAAAAATTAAAAAAAAGATCTTGATATATTTTTGTGAGGTACACTTTACTGAAACCTTTGGGTTCTCACACTCAGAGAGAAATGGGTAGATTACATTTAATGTTGTGGGAAACACTTCACCATCCTATGAGTTTACCAGAAGCCACAGTGAGGGGCTTAGTTCTAGGAGGTCCTCTGGCAGCACAAAGGCTGAGCTCCGTGGTGGAAAGCTGAGGTGACTACAAGGTCTATTTGCAGTTGGCCTTACCATTTTGGAGGTGCTGTAGGGAGGTAGAGCATTTGAGGAGTTAAACATGAAATGATATTAAAAGCAAGAGTCTGGTACCACTGAGGTAGAGTAGGCTTCAACCAAATGTTTCCACCTATTATTCTCTCCTACCCGAAATAAATCCCAGGCTGGCCTTACACTTCCAGTCTCCAGCCTCTGCCTCCCAAGTGCTAATGAGCTTTTTATTTTTTAAATGGTTTTCTTCTTTATTCGCTTAGTGTCACTCTCATGATGTTCCTTTGTTATATTCTCTGCTTTCTCTGTTCTCTCTCTCATTCTAGCTCTTGCTGTTTCCCTTCTACATGATGAATTCTCTCATACACGATGTTACCCTTCTCTCATGGTGTTTCTCTCACAATGTTCCCCACGTTTCTGCCACTGTTCCTTCATTCTTACACCTTATATACCTACAAAATCTTTCAGGCTTTACCTCTGAAGGTCACATACCATTTCTTAAGTAAATGATAAGAAACAGAGTCATAAAGAATCCAGATAAATTGTCACAATAGCAAGGAACGAATGCTTTTTCTCTAATTAGCGGCTTTGGACTACAACCTGCAACTGCAAAAAAGGCTCATGAACTTTTAAATACTGTTTCCCAACATGGTCTAAACACTTAGCCTCTAGCTAAGGGGAATGGATCACAGTGGTCAGAGAAGGCTGTTTGTCACGAGACACCCTTCCCACAGTGCTCCATCCATAAAGCAGGCAGCCTTCCCACTCACCACTAAGCATAACTTGCCACAGAGTATATCTGGTGGGGGCTGATGGCTTGCTTCTATTTTGGAGACCTTCCTGTTGCTGTACAGAGCCTCACTGTGTGTCACTGCTCAGGCCTCACAGTGTGACTTTCAGAGGCTTACTGCCAGGCACAGCCCAGAGGGATCATAAATACTGGTGGCTGCGGGAATAGAAAGGTCCAGCCCCTTTGTCTCCATGTGGGATGAGCTTAGAGGACCATTTGCAGTCCAAGCTGTCCTAAAGGTCAGGCAGAGGTGAGACTCAGCCAGTCTTCAAACCCTGTTAGTGTCTTTGTCATGCTGCCCCCTTCCTGGTTTCTCCCAAGATACACACTTCATCTTCAGCTCATGCACACATTCTACAGCAGGTTGGGGGAGTAGAGAAGAGATGGCCAGAACCACTTGGTGGCACCTCAGAGCTCTATCTGGTTACAACCAAAATTGATAGAACTTTAGGACTTACTGGTATTGGTCTTAGAAATGGTATAGAGGGTGTGTTTGAGCGAAGAAAAATGTGGAGGATAAACCATTACCAGAAAAAACATTTATTAAGTTAAACCATCTATCATTCAAATATAAAACCATTTCAAAACCAGACTTACTTCCTACCGGAGTTTGCATCAGAATTGAGAAGAGGTGGGAGTTTTAATACACCTTCCCTCACTCATGATAGCATCCATGATTGCTGTCCCAACCATGGAAGTGCACATGTTACATAATCCAAGTGTTCACACTGATACCTCACTGTTCCAAGTCTACAGCTTATGTTAGGTTCATGTTTGGTGCATGAACTGTGGGGCCTGGATGAATGGACAGGGACTATCCATTCATGGCTGGGACACCATCACAGCCCCACCCAGCAGTGTTCCCATTCTGCTGTTTGATACCAGAATCTGAAACTTTGCCCACTGCTAGGAGATAGTCAACAAATGTGACAGGGTCAAATGTTTACATCTTGGGGCGGGGCTCTAATCAAGGACTCATTATTCCACTGGCAACAGGGAGATCATCAAGACTGGCTAAGGCCAGAGCCCACCCCAGCCAGAAGGGATTTCTTTTGGCTGCAAGAATAAAAGGGGTATGTGAGGGCCTTGCAGAAGAAATGGGAAAAACATGCTGCTTGTACCCTAGTCTGACCCCTGACCCAGAGCTGTGTTTGAGTGGAAAGAGTCACTAATCTTCTGTGTCACTGATTTTCTCTGGACTTGTAAGAAAGATGTCATGCTGTAGGTATCCAGACTCACTTTACTGATGAACTCACCCATTTCCCTAACAGTGTTCACCTGACAAGCTAATCCATGTCACATGTTTTGCACAGGTATGGGGCTCCAGCTGGTCTTGATGACTTTATTGAGACTAAATCAACACTCAGGGCAGCAAAACAACTTCATTTATTTCGGGATTCTTTCTTGGGCAACAATTTCATTTCATTTTGTTTTTTCTTACAAGAAAATTACTGCTAAATATATTAAAGAGAAATATGTTTTCAGAGTGAGAAGTCTTTCATAGTTATTCAGCAGCAACCAACAAATCAGGCTGCACTCGGGCAGTGTTATTGAGGGAAGGCACTTGGGGCCAATTTGGCAGCATCATTTGAGCCACAAACCCTTACTGTCATGACCTGCAGGTCAGAGACACAGGAGTAAATAAAAGCAGACAGGTTCCTCCTGTGTAAACCTTCCCCTTAGACAGTACCAAACACATACTCATAAAGCCCATTGGTGTCTGGCAACAAATTCCTAAAAGGACAAATAGCATGCATTAAATAATGGGGAAAGTCCTACAGGGTGCCACGAGAAAGCCAGTCTTCAAGTTGAGATCTGTAGGATGCGTAGAAGTTGACCAGTTAATGAGAGCATGGAAGAACCAAGTGCAAGGACCCTGCGGGAGGAGAGAGAATCACCCCGTTTGTGCCACTCAAGGATGGACAGTGGGGGTGGAGGACGCAGGAACAGGAGAAAGTTTAAAACGAGGATAGTCTTCCAGCTTAGAGGCCAAACCAAGCCGGGTTTTTAATGTCTGGATAAAAATTCTGGCCTTTTCCTAAAAGTGATGAGAATTAGTGAAACTTATACAGCAGAAAGAGCAGGCCTTAGAACACTGTATTGCATTTTAATTCAGGATTGAAAGAGTGCTGAGGTAACTGCTCTAGAAACAGAAGTCCTTTCAAATGTGGACGTGGAGGAAGCAGAGTGGTTCTAGAGGTTTTAGCATGGTGTTAGGAGTGTGATGAGATGGTCTTGGGAAGATTATCTAAAGCGCATTTCTTTCTTTTACCATGACCAGCATGAGGCAATGTGTGGGCTGTGGTGTGTGGTGACAGCATCTGATGAAAAGAACCAAAGTCCGTAGCTCTGTCCTCTGACACCTCTGTCTGTTCACAGATCAGGCACCACCCCAACTACGCTTCCAGCTCCACATCCCTTCCCTGCCCAGGCTCCTCAGCGTTGATGTGGAGTGACCAGCTGGAAAGGTGAGATGGAAAGGCTGCCTGCTTGACAGAAAAGCCTCTGTCCTCGGCTCAGGTCTGCCTACTGATTCCAAGGCAAAGATGTCTCTGAGAATCAAAATGTTAAGGACTGGGATGGTTCGGTCTGTAAGTGATTGCTTCGATCCTGAGGACCGTAGCTCAACACCCAGATCCCATGCCAAAAACCAGGTGTGATGTGCACCTGTAATCTCACTGATGGAGACACAGGAGGGGAAGACGGAGGATCTTCTGGAGCTCACTGGCCTGCTAGCCTGGCTGGCTTGGAGACACTCTGGGCCAATGAGGGACACTGTCTCAATCCAAAAGGGGAAGTCACTTGAGGACCAGCACTCAAGATTGTCCACAGACTTACACACACACACACACACACACACACACACACACACACACACACACACACACACACACACGCACCTGGAAGTCACCACACTCATTTTAATCCAGGAAAGCCAAACTGTACAGAGTAGCTTTCTTTCCTAAAACCCTTCAGACATTTCCCCCCACTGAGACTGGTTCCAGCTTGGTCTTGTGACAAATCATGTCACTGAGTGCTCATACTAAGATGCATAATAAGTGTTTTATGACTCAGTCAGTGTTTTAATTAGACACCAGAACCCAATGTCCTTGCCACATGGCCGTCTCCCTCTCGGTTCCCCTTTGGATTTGATTTGATTTGTATGAAATGTGTCCTTCGGTGAACGAACACTCTGGAAAACAGAGCGCAGTGAAGCGTGAGATGCATGGTTGACTGTTAAATTTAGAACATCAGTTCTTCCCCTTAACACTGTCTTCAATGTGTCTGTCAGGGACTCCAGAGCCTGGGTGGACTGAATGGAGTCTACTGGCTTGGTTGTGTTCTGCAACCTATATCCAGAAGAGAAGATGCGAAGAGAAGGGTTTCACTGTTTTAAAGACAGCACACTCGCTTATTAAGAAAGTGGAAAGCCAGTGTGCTCACTTTTATTTCATTCTCTGGTTTTCCAGGTGCACAAGCATCTCTTCTCAGCACACCGTGTTACCACGAATGTGGACATTCAAGAGCTTATTTCTCTGCCATTTATCATCCCCTATTGTGGTAACCGAGAGAGAATCAATTCAGTTTTTCAAAGGATAAAACTGGATGTCTCTTTCTGTGACGTTGGAAACTAGACCATCAAGAATATGGTGGTGGACTCTGGAAAAGCTTAAAAAATCCTAAGACTGGAGGTGGGGAGAAGGCTTGGTGGTTAAGAGCACTGGCACCTAGACCTGGGTTCAGTCTCAGCACCCATGTTAGGTGACTCACAACTGCCTCTAATTCTACCTCCCGGGACATGACTCTGAGGACACCATACTTATGCATGTGTGTCCTTCATTTAGCGTCTGTGAGATCAAACACGTGCACCTAGGCATACTGTGGCTCTGCTCTCCCTTGTTACAGAGCATAAAAGGGAGACAGAGGGTAACTTATTTCCACCTCCTTTTTTTGTTGTTAGTTTCACCCTAAGTCTTTTTTAAATTCATTTTTTATTTTGTTATTTTGTGTGTCTGTGTATGTCTGTGCCTGTGTCTGTGTGAGTATATGTGCAGGGGCCTGTGTGTGCATGCATTTGTGTGTGTGTGTGTGTGTGTGTGTGTGTGTGTGTGTGTGTCTGTCTGTCTGTCTGTCTGTCTGTCTGTCTGTCTGTATCTGCAAGTGGTGGACAAAAGAGGGCATTCAGTATCCTCCTCTCTCACTCTCCACTTACTCCTTTGAGGCAGGATTTCTCCCTGCACTTACAGCTCATGTCCTCTTGGCTAGGCTGGAATCAGTGAGGCCAAGAAAGGGCAGGAGTGTGCATAGTGTACCTGGCTTGTTCTGTGTGGGCTAAGATCATGCGATTGCACAGCAAGAAATCTTAATCCCAAATCAGTTTTCCAGACCCTTGTCTTCAATTTTTAAAGTAAAGTTGAACATGGTTTTTCATTATTAAAAAGAAAACCATAAGCCAGGTTCTGCATGGAGAATTGGGAAATAGGGGGAAGTGAGAAGCTTTGGGGATGTGGTACAGTGGTGGAGTGCTGGCCTAGCATGCTCAAGGATGGGTTCCCTCCCCGGCAGCTGCAAGTAAGCCAATAAACCAGGAGAGGGTGCTAGCTGAGCTCTGGCTCCTCCACTCCAGAAAACCTTCACTGTCTTACAACGCTTTTCATTCCTTCCACTATACTTTCCTTCTTTAAGAATTTTTAAACCGTATGGTGTGTGTGTGTGTGTGTGTGTGTGTGTGTGTGTGTGTGTGTTCGAATGTGAATGCAGCTGCCTACAGAGGCCAGTAGAGGGCAAAAGACCCCTAGGAACTGGAGCAACAGGAGATGGTGAGCCACCCACTATCAATGCTGGGAACTGAGTTCAGGTCCTCTGCAATAGCAGAAAGTGCTCTTCATGGTCGAGCCATCTCTCTAGTCTCTCTCTGTAGTTAAAAAATTGTCTGGTAGATTTATTGCATGAATTCTTAGGCATCTGTTACCTTGATATTTTTTTTTAAATCTTGTTCTTGTATCTTTAATGTAGAATATGCACTTCTCAGACTATTTGCAAACACTTTAGAAAGTTAATATATCATGCACCCAGACATTTATCAAGAAGCACACTGCAGCTCCCTCAACCAGGATCTACAGTCACCCTGGGTATCATGGCAATTATCGGCACTGTGATTGGAAGACTGAATGTGGAGGGATTTGTTGTTGCTCTTGTTGTTACTGTTTTCTTTAGTTGGTTTGGGTTTTGTTGTTGTTGTTGCTTGTTTGACAGGATTTTTTGCAGTCCTGACAAGCCCCCAAACTCTGCATTCTCTTTTCTCAGACTCCTGAGTGCTGGAATTACAGGTATGAGTCATCACACCCAGCTATGAGCCTGTTTTTTCTTATACTTGTATTTTATTTTAGTTTAAGAAGACTTTAAGGGAGCTTGTGATTTGTGGTATATAATGCTCTGGAAAGACTCATGCAGTCAAAATGCTTTCTAAAGGAATTTGAGATTTGAAATTCTGTCAGTGAGAAACTGAGTTGCTTCACTGTAACCAGCAGGGCACATTACCTTAAAACGTGGCAAAGATTTCGTTGGTTTGACATGAGAAAGGCCACACTTCACAGGGTGCTCAATGGCACTCTTCCTTATTTTAAAGTCACGATTACATACTCACTGGGACTTGTATGCAAGACAAGCTGTGTACTCGATGTACCTGTAACTGGCTTTGTTTATAAAGCACACCTAATTTCTACACACGAGTTTTGTCTATAGATGGCATATGCATTTCTTACCCATATGTTACTTTTACTCTATACACAAACATGTTAAAAATCATTCCTACTGCATTTATGGGTGTTTTTGTGTTTTGACAGATGACAAACACCCCGAGGTGGACGTTCTTTGCAGGCCCAGCTTCCCTGCGTTTGTGAATTTTCTCACCCTGAGAAAGATAACTGAATATTTTGGATTGTGTCTTCTTTTGGCCCCATGTTTTAATTTTTTTCTTGTTACTAAACACACCGAGACAAGCTTTCTTATGGTAACCCGAGCTTCTGGATGTTGACTGGCTCCTATGAAGACTGGGACTCTGTGCTTGACAAGTGGGGCGGAAGTGCGTAGACACTGCGGCGACAGACGGAGTCGGTGCAGCAGCGTCTCCAACTCCAGCCTCGCCAGAACGTCTTCACGTGTTTGTTTCTCCTACATATATTTGAAAAAGCAGCAGAACTTTTCAACAGCGAAGCATCAATGTCTCGAGAGCTAGGGTCCCCCTAGTAAGCTATGAGCTTAACAAGACAAAAAAAAAAAAAAAAAAAAAAAAAAAAAAAAAAAAGCCACACGCGAGAGCATGGGAAGGCAGGGGGCATTGCGCCAAGGGTGTTAGTGCCAAGCAGGCACAGGACGCCACAGAGCAGTGTCCTTCTCAGGGAGTCTGGGAAATAAAGTTTCTAACTTAATTCTGGTTACACGCCCCTCAGTAATTCAGGATGCGCACTGTTGTTTCTCTGCTCTTAAAGGGAGCAAGTTCAGCTAAGGGTGCCTTCCAAGTGCCACTAACAGTTCCAAGGCTAGATGACTAAATGTTCAGTTACAGCCATAAAAAGGAAAAGCAGACACAGCCAGCTAATTATGGTTCCAATTCAATCTTATTTTTGAATCACTATCAACTTAAGATTTCTCTCAATTTGTGCTCAGGCAGCACAAACAGAAAAGGGCAAAATGAATAAGTGACGGTTATTTTACATCCGAGTCTGTGACTTTTTATGAAGTAAAATGATTTTGTCTGTGTTGAAATAGTAAACTTTATAAAAAATATTTGAGTTCTTTAGTAGCTTCCATCTGGTACACATTTACCTGTTTCTAAATCCAACAACCTGGTTTTCCTTCTTTAACACGCACTGTGTGGATTCCAGTCCCCACGCCCCAGTCACTTAGTTCAGCAGATGCTCAGTGTCTGCCGTGTACTAGGCCCTCACTGTACCGTGCAGTCGTCACCTGTGTAGGTCTCTGGAGAAGGGATGAGGATCTGGGATGTGTTGTTCCACCCTAGGAGCCTGTATCAGGTTTCCATTGTCACTCTGTCCACCTCTAACTAAACGATGTGGTCTGTGAATCGTCGGTAGACTCCCATTGCTTTATTTATAATCTGTTTTGACAGTAGTCTCAACCTAGCCCTTAGCTGATTCACATATACAACCCACTTCTCAGATTTAAGTTCAGTGACCATCACTGAGCACAGGGTAAAGACCACCATCAGAGAAATGCCCATCATTCACCTACAGGGGTATCGAGCTGTCATCTTCTATTTCATCGTCCCAAGACAGAGCTCTGTACAGTGTTCTCTGTAAGTACCATCACTTAACATGTGCTGCAGTGATGTCCTACTTACAGGACCAGGTGATGTAGCACAATCATGGGTTTTGAAGCAAAGCTAGATCTGACTCTCGATACAACAGGCCCTATGCCCCGGAGAAAGCTTCATTATACGCCACTGGGTC